GTGATTCACGTTAAACAGAATAAAGGAGAAAAACGATATGATTAACAGATTCTGAAAAATTATTTGACTACATTCAATACTCTTTCAAAATTAAAAAAAAACTTTCAGCAAATCAGACATGGAAGAGAAGCTCCTCAATCTGTTAAAGGGCATTTGTGAAAACCTGTAGCTAGTAGTACTTAATGATGAAAATCTGACCATGTTCTTTAGAAAGATCTGGAAAAAGTAAGAGTGTCCATTCCTACCACTTCTATTCATTATTGACTAAACTGTCCTAGCCATTGCAATTAGGTAAGAAAAAGAAATAACCTACAGATTAGAAAGTAAGAAGCAAAACTTTCTTATTTATAGATGGCATGATTGTGTATGAAGTCCTAAGACACCCACAAAACAACCTCTAGAACCAAAAAATTAATATAGCAAGGTTGCAGGATATAAGATCAATGTACAAAAATTAATTGTATTTTTATATATAAGCAGCAAACAATTAGAAAATGAAAATTCGGGGTGCCTGGGTGGCTCAGTTGGTTAAGTGTATGACTCTTGGCTTTGACTCAGGTTGTGATCTCCGGGTCATGAGAGCAAGCCCTGCATTGAGCTCCCCACTGAGCAGGAAGTCTGCTTGAGATTCTTTCCCCCTCCCTCCCCCTCTGTTCTTCCCCCACTTGCATTCTCTTTCTTTCTCGAATAAATAAAATATTTTAAAAAATTAAAATTAAAAATAATTACATTTACAACAGAGTAAAAGAGCCTTATAATACTTAGGAAAAAACGTGCAAAAGACACATAGGATCGGGCACCTGGGTGGCTCAGTCAGTTAAGTGTCTGTCTTCTGCTCAGGTCATGATCCCAGTGTCCTGGGATCGAGTCCCACATTGGGCTCCCTGCTCAGCATGGAATCTGCTTCCCCCTCTTCCTCTGCTCCTACCCCTGCTCATGCTCACTCTCTCTCTGTCTCTCTCTCAAATAAATAAATAAAATATTTTTTAAAAAGACACATAGGATCTATACATTGATCACTCAAAATGTTGCTGCGAGAAACTAAGGAAAACCTAAATCATGGATTATACCATAATGACAAATCAAAAGAATCATTATTTTATTTATTTATCTGACAGAGAGAGACAGACCGCAAGAGAGGGAACACAAGCAGGGGGAGTGGGAGAGGGAGAAGCAGGCTTCCCGCTGAGCAGGGAGCCAAATGTGGGGCTTGATCCCAGGATCCCAGAATCAAGACCCCAGCAGAAGGCAGATGCCTAACAACTGAGCCACCCAGGCGCCCCAAGAATCATTATTGTTAAGATGTTAGTTCTCACCAAATTGAAATATAACTTTATTTGAATATAAACCATAATTCCAGTAGGGAGTTTTTTGGTAAAAATTGATAATCTGATTAAAAAATGAAAAAGGCCTAGAATATAAAAGGACTTAGAATAAAGTAATCTTGAAAGAAAAAGTACAACAAAAATGGAAGAAACTATTTGACTTCAAGACTTAAAATACAGCTACAGTAATCAATATGTTACTATCATAATGACCAATAGATCAAAGGAGCCACACATTTGTGTTCATTTGATTTTCAGTAAATCACCAGAGCAAACTTATTGGGAAATAAAAATATTTTCTATAAATGGTGTTGGAATATCTGGATATCCAAATGGAAAAACAGTGAACCTTGACCCCTTACTCATACCATATAAAAGTTAATTCAAGATGGAGCATAGACTGATTTATACTATAAAGCTAAAACTATAAAGCTTCTAAAATAGCACTGTTTAATAAAACTTTCTGCAATGTTAGAAATGCCCTATATTTGCATCCATTGTCCAATAAGGTAGCTGCTAGTCATATGTGGTTGTTGAGTATTTGAAATATGTCTATTGGGAAGTTAATTTTGTTTTATTTAATTTTAACTAGTTTATATTTATGTAGACTAATGGCTATATATGTCTATATAGACCAGTCTAATGGACTGTACTGGACAGAACAGTTCTAGAAAAAAACGTAGGAAAATGTCTTCACAAGCTGAGGGTAGGCAGCCGTTCCGTAGACACAGAAATCAATAACCATAAAAGAAGAGTAAATGAATTAGACTCATCAAAATTTAAAACTTTTGCTATCAAAACACACCACTAAGAAAATAAGTAGGCAAACCATAGACTGGGAGAAAATACTTGCTAAATAAGTATGCTGACAAAATTCCGGTATTACAGATAATACAGAACTCCTAAAGCTCAATACCAAAAAGACCTACAATCCAGTTAAAATGAAGATAAAATACTTGAACAGACACTTCACAAAGGAAGATATGCAAGTGCCCAATAAGCACCAAAAAAAGTGCTCAACATAATTTTTTGTCATGGAAATGCAAATTAAAGCACAAGGTACTACCATGTATTCCTCAGAAAGGCCAAAATGCTAAAATTAGAACTACTGACAATATTAAATGTTGTCAAGGATCTGGAACAGCAGGAACCTTCATACACTGATGGTGGGAGTGTACAATGGTACTATTTTGGGAAAAGTTCTACCAGTTTCTTATAAATTTATAAAATTAACCCATTAAGTCTATTCCTAGATATGTTCCCAGCGAAATAAAAACATGCATTCACAAAAAGACGTATGGAATGATTTAGCAGTTTTATCCATAATGACCAAAAACTGGAAACAGCCGAAGTGTTCATCAGTAAGAGAATGGATAAATAAGCTGTGGCATATTTATACTATAGAATGCTGTTACTCAATAAAAAGAAACAAACTACTGATAATCAACAGCCACATGGGCAAATTTCAAAAATATTGTGCTTAGTGAAAGAAGAAAATCTTACATAAAATGGCACATGCTGTAAGTTTTGATTTATATGAAGGTCAAAAACAAGCAAAACAAATGTGGGATGGAAAAATATCAGAAATGTTTTTGACCCTTTTCAAAGATTGGGAAGAACATAAAGAACTTTCTGGAGTTGTAATAATGTTAATTAGGGTTTTTGTTACATAGTTTTGTGCCTTTGTCAAAACTCATAGAATGGTACCCTTAAGATTTGTGTATTTTATGTAACTTTTATTTGAAAATAAATTAATTCTAGCTAATATGTTTAAGAGTTTAGTGCCTTAAGTTTACAACTTACTTTGAAATGCTTCAGTATAATACAGTGGATTGATTATGGCAGGGGAATGCTTCATATATGACAAAGCAAGGACAGTGAATGTTCATTGTAGATTCTAGGTAGGTGCAGTATATACATTTTCTCTGCACAAATTCTTACTTCTTTCAACTTTCAAGAATTAAGATCCTAAATTCTTTCATTCTTTTTGTGTGTTTGAACATTTTCCTAATGAATGTTGGAAAAAAAAATAATATGATTTTTTAGTATAAAAGTGACTTGTACCTAGCACAAATATTTGGGAAACATAAAAAAATAAAAGGAAGAAACTATTTTCCATAACCCAACCATCCAGAAATAACTATTACTTGATGGTTTCACTTTCTTCTTCTATGCTTTATTTTTACTTTGATGTCTATGACCATATTTTATATGCTGCCTTATATTTTATACTTATATCCTATAAAATATCCTGTTTTTCCCCCAATAAGATTTATAGCTTTTCATTTCCACTGCCAGAGAATTGTTTACTGCGTTAGTATACTATAGCTTAATTAAGTATCCATCTATTTTGTGTTTAGGTTGTTTTTTATATCTTACTGATAATACTGCTATAATGGATATCATTTTGCAAAAAGTTTGTTCTGTGTTTTAGGTCCTTGTAAGTGCAAGTAGCATGTCAAAGGGTATGAGAAATTTCAGAGCTCTTCATACACATCGTCAAATTGTGGACATTTTTTCTGGAATAGTCCCTGAAACACCTCTGTAGAACCCTCAGAGATGCTCCAAGTCCAATTAAAACACCACTGACCTAGAATATTTGAATTATTCACAGGCTATATGTCAAATTGAATTTTCTTAAGATTTATTTATTTATTTATTTTTGGGAGAGAGAGCGAGAGCGTAAGCATGTGCATACAAATGGGAGAAGTAGGAGGAAGAGAGAGAACGCCTAGTGGACTCCCTGCGGAGCGTGGAGCCTGTTGCAGAGTCAGTCCCAAAACCCTGAGACCACGACCCCAGTCGAAATCAAAGAGTTAGATGCTTAACTGACTGAGCTACCCAGGTGCCCCAAATTGGATTTTTTAATGGATTTTTTTTTTTTTGGCCATTTTGAGGTTCAGAAAGGTTTGGTGACTTGCCAAAGATTCCTGCTGGTAATTGACAGAGCCACCATTTGACCTTATATATGTCAAGGTGCTATTCAGCCCAAAACAGGTGTTTAATAATGTTGGTTAAGTGAACACATGCATAAATGAAGGTACCAAAGGCTTAGATTTACATTTCCAATGCAGTTCCCTTCGGAGCTACGAAAGACTTAGGTTATCAGGCTGATACTAGCCTGAATGATGTTCTCATTTGCATATTGGTTTATTTGTTCCATTCATACCTACCTCATGGGAAGAAAACAGCTTTCTGATTTTTCTTTGGCTCAGAACACAGAATTACATGTAGCACATGACACTAATTGATCTGATTTTGGAAATGTGGTCCAGGTCACAGTGACATGAGTATCTCCTGACTGTCTTCATCCGCTAGGCTTCTAGTGTGAATCGCAGAAGCACCTGTGTGTAGCATGCCATTCCCTTCTCTGAGGGAGGTTCCCTAGGCAGGGTCATTCTGCACACTGCAGGGGGCCTGGGGCTAGTGACCTGGGGCTGCCCTCAGCACAGACATTGTACTTGGCAGCAGTGTGAGCAGACGCCCCAGGAAGCTGTGGTTCCAGGGCTGTGGAGGCTGCTGGCTTAGGGGGACACGGCCTTTCTGTGAAACAGACTAGATGGAGAGGGAGGCAGTTCCTCTGCAAACAAACCCAGGAGGAAGAATTGTTTGTCCTTGTGTACAAAGAAGAAAGTGAGACTAATTATTCCTGATTTATTACAATTCTCTGCTCAGAGAACGAATCAAGTATTGCTGTGAGCAACTGCGTACTCTGTTGCCATATATAAAGGGAAGAAAGAATGACTCGGCTTCGATTCTTGAGGCAACAGTTGATTATGTGAAGTACATCCGGGAGAAAATCCCTCCAGCCATTATGGGCCAGGTATTTGACTCCAAGCCCTTGAATTTTATCCTCATACATGGTGCTTTAAAGCCACAGCTTTATTTTTTATAATTGGAAATGTATGTGTGTTTGTGTATATGAAAAAATATCTATCTAAATAGCTCTCCCTCTCTCCCTCTCTCTCTCTCAGATTACAGAAGTACTTCAGAGCAATAGGAGGTTTTGTAAGAAACAGCAGATGTCCATCCAGCTATCCCTTCCAGCCACGATCATGGCACAAAGGTATGATGAAGACTCTTATGAATTGGAAGCTGGCTTGTTAGTTTCCTCTGATGCTAACACTAGAAGTATTGTAGACAGGCACTGAACCCACCCATTGTGAAAACTCAAGTATTTATTAAGAATCAGTGAACTTGGGGCACCTGGATGGCACAGTCAGTGAAGCGTCCAACTCTTGATTTCGGCTCAGGTCATAATCTCAGGGTTGTGAGATCAAGCCCATTGTGGGGCTCCATGCAGGGCATGGACCCTGCTTAAGATTCTTTCTCCCTCTGCTCTTCCTCTACCCCCCCATCGCCCCCCATGTGCCCACACTCTGTCTCCCAAAAAAAAAATCCGTGAAGTTTTCCCATTGCCAATGTGTGTCATTTAGTCGCAGTGATAAAATATGTAATATTCTCAGGCCCATGTCCTTTCATCATTTGACTCACTCTTATTTCTTCTCTTGTTAATTCTGAAGATCTTAAAATAAGGCTTTATCGGTAGTGATGGTCGTGACTGGCAGACCGACAGAGGCAGGATGCATTCTAGCATTCCTCTGTCACAGGAGGTCATGGGCCCTGGAGCAGTCCAGCCCTATTTCAGTTGGGGGTTTTTAAAGAATTTGCTAGTACAAAATGTGACGTGCCAAATGAATGCTTTCTTTTTTAAATTTATTAGAATATATAAACAAAGAAAAATTATAAAGCAAATCATTCCTGTACATTCTAAACTTATCATCATGAATCCTGTTCAGCCATTTGTTGTTAGGCCTAAATTATCCGTAGTGTAGGCTCCATCTGTGTTATTTAGAACTTGAATGATAGAAGAACAGTTGAACTCAGCAGTGTTCATGTAGTCTTCTTGGAGAATTGTGTAAGGTTTTTTTTTTTTTTTTCCTGCTCTTTTAAGGGAAAATGGTGTGTTGACAAGCACTTACTCACCTGTCAGAGGGATCAGATTCCTGGCTAATAAGTGCTTGAATGTGTACTCTGTTCCTGCCTCAGGGGGCTCCTTGGATGAAGCCGTGACAGGTGAGCTGCACCTGATACCCTGTAGTAGGCTTGGCTTGCGTGGTGTCCTGGGCACCCTTGCACTCCCATGCATTCATTGCTGTAGCCAGGGAAAGGAGTGTAGCTAGAGTACTTTTGGTATTACCTGCTCGAAGTACAAAAGATGGCCACAGACGTTCATATGGTGTTATCTCGGAAATTGGGTTTAAAATTGACCATCGTTCCCAGAAAGCTCATTTTCTTTTTATTGAGGAATAACTGACATATAACATTATATTAGCTTCAGGTGTACAACATGATTTGTTATGTGTGCACATTGTGAAATGATCACCACAATAAGTCTGCTTAACATCTGTCAATAAGATTAAAATATTTTTTTCTTGTGATGAGAACTTTTAAGATCTAATCTCTTAACAACTTTCAAATATGCAGAATAGTATTATTAATTATAATCACCATGCTGTATATCACCATGACTTTTCTATTTTGTAACTGGAAGTTTTATACCTTTTGACTGGTTTCACCCATTTCATCCCCCCCCCAATCCCCACCCCTGGAAACCACTAATCTGTTCTCTGTACCTATGAGCTCAATTTTTATATGTTTGTTTGTTTTTTGAGATTCTGTATATAAATGAGATCATACAGTATTTGTCTTCCTCTGACTTATTTCACAAAGCATAATGCCCTCAAGGTCTATCTATACTGTCATAAATGAAAAGATTTCATTCTTTTTTTATGGCTGAATAATATTTCTGTGTGTGTGTGTGTGTGTGTGTGTGTATTTATATATCTATACCAATCACATTTTCTCTATCCATTTATCCATCAGTGGATACTCAGGTTGTTCTTGGCTGTTGTCAATAATGCTGCAATGAACATAGAGGTGCCTATATCTTTTTGAGTTAGTATTTTCATTTTTTTTGGATAAATTACCCGGAGATAGGATTGCTGGATCATATAGTAGCACTATTTTAATTTTTTTGAGGAACCTCCATACTGTTTTCCATAGTGGCTACATCAATTTACATTCCCACCAACAGGGCACAAGTACATATCTTCACCAACACTTATTATTTCTTGTCTTTTTGGTAATAGCCATTCTAATGGGTGTGAGGTAATATCTTGTGGTTTTGATTTACATTTCCCTGATAATTAATGATGTTGGGCCTCTTTTCATGTACCCATTGGCCATTTGTATGTCTTCTTTGGAAAAATTCCTATTTAGATCCTCTGTCCATGTTTAAATCAGTTTGTTTCTTTGCTGTTACTTATAGGAGTTCTTATATATTTTGGATATTAACCCCGTATCAGATATGTGACTTGAAAATATTTTCTCCCATCCCATAGGTTTCCTTTTCATTTGGTTGATGGTTTCCTTTGCTGTGGAGAAGCTTTTTGGTTTGATATTATAGTCCCCCCATGTTTATTTTTGCTTTTGTTGCCTTTGCTTTTGGTGTCAAATCCAAAAAAGTATCTCCAATACACCCTCTTTTCTTCTAGGAGTTCTATGGTTTCAGGTTTTATGTTTAAGTCTTTAATCTATTTTGAGTTAATTTTTGTGTATGGTATAAGATAGGCATCCAGTTTCATTCTTTTGCATGTGACTGTCCAGTAGAAATCTCATCTTCCTGATAGATGAGAAGCACATTGGTGGCTTTATTACATGAATATAATCTAAAGGAAAGGGAAGTACTCAAATTAATTGAGCACTATGTACTAAGCATTTAACATATTAACCTTTTACCTCCTACACATCTTTGCTTTAATTGCTTAAATGTCACCTTCTCAGTGAGTCTCAACCCCTCAATTAAAACTGCGTACTCCTTTCTAGCATCACATAATGCATGGGACTTCTTATCCACTTTCTCTACTGCATTTTTTTCATAGCACTTATTTCCTTCTAATATTCTTTATTTGGATATGTTCTTACGGCCTGTCTTCTCCCACTAAAATATCAACTCCATGAAGACAGGGAATTTTTTTTTTTAAGATTTTATTTATTTATTTGACAGAGAGAGACACAGCGAGAGAGGGAATACAAGCAGGGGGAGTGGGGGAGGGAGAAGCAGGCTTCCCGTGGAGCAGGAAGCCTGATGCAGGGCTCAATCCCAGGACCCTGGGATCATGACTTGAACTGAAGGCAGATGCTTAACAACTGAGCCACCCAGGCGCCCCAGACAGGGAATTTTTTTTTTTTTTTTTGCCTCTTTTGTTCATTGCCGTATTTCTAGTACCTAGAGCACTGACCAGCATGCAGTTGGTACTCAAGAAACCTTCGCTATATGAATATTCCTTGTGAAACAAATATTTACCCACTGTGAGGCATTTTTCCTATTTGTGTTATAAAGTCTAGGCATGCCCATGTACTTGTAGCAATAAGAAGATGGAAAAAAGCAGAGCCAGAGTAAAAGAACCCAACTACCAGTTTGTGACTTTTCTATTCCTAAAGGTTACTCTTCATTGAGAAACCAGTAAAGAACTGAGCTCCTAATCTTCATGTTGAATGCTAGGTGACAGGACACCCTGACCTCTCTCTTCATTGCCTGAGTCTGAGGTCACTCTTGTGCTTAGTTCCTCGAAGGGATTCCACACGCTTACCTCAGCACCTTCCCTGTTCTGGGAATGTCCTTTCCATCCTCTACCTGTGGAACTCCCCGTTCACATAGTTCTCAGCTTAAACGTCCCTGCTTGAAAGATGGGGCCACAAGGACAAACAAGATGAATTCTTGTTCTTATGGAGCTGGCAAATCAGTAGCAGAGAGGGTCACAAAAACAAAATACAATTCCTATAGTGCTTTAAATGCTGTAGTAGAGGCACTGTGCATAATATGCGGACATAGTAAACGCTGCAGGAACAAATGATGTTACTAGCAATGGTGACTAAAGTCAAAAATGGAATATAGCTCTCCTTGTTCTAAAGTCAAATAAGCTTCAGGGTATTTTATTAGTCAATTTAGACTTTTCTCCAGATTTGGAGCAGAGGAGAGGAAAAGCAAAAAAAGGGTAGCCATGAGCCATGGTTAATCTACTTCAAGTAGTTTTGGCTGAATATCACCCAGAACGATTAAGTCAGCACAGATTAAATCAGAAAGAGGTCGGGCCACAGGCATATGCCTGTCAATGTTACTTCTTGAACATACAATGCTTACTTCTGCATTCTCACTGTTTATATTCTGCAGAAACTCTGAAACACTGTTTTCCTGGTGGTAAGTTCTGGCCTTTCTGTGCCCCAGCATGTCTTGGTTTTCATCACCTAAAGCAGTTGCTCCTGGGAAGACACAGATATACTAGGATCATAGACTGTGTTCAGCCTGGGGAAGACCTTGAAGGTCATTGAGTCAGACCCCTCCCAAATTTTAATTTTGTTTATATATAATTTTCCATTTGGAAAGCAATATTATTCCTTCACTAGCGCAGCTAAGATAATCACTGTTCATTTTTAATGTATTTCCTTCAAGTCTTTTTCTATGTATATTTTTCTACAGTAGTACTCATATTGGACATCCAATTTTGTTGTCTTCTTTTACTAAACATTGTGTCATATATACTTTAATTTTTTCTTATGCAGCCCTTACCACCATTGTAATGGTTTTAGTGGTTTATCAAATAATTTCTAGAAAAATCTTCTGAATCATCCTCCAATTGCTACATTTAGTATTTGTAGTTTTGTGGGGAAAGTGATTCTATATATATGAAAGGAAATATTTCACCATACATAGATTTTTCTATATTTTGGACTTTTCCTTGGGCTAGATACCTGGAAGTGTGTGATGGATGAGTTTGAGAATGTGAGCACATATATAGCTCATGATGCAGGTTGCCAACTTGTTTTAGAAAGAGCGCTGGAACCGTTGAAATCAGTTAAGTCTTCCAATGTCACTGTACCACCTAGGTCAGTAAATTGAAGGCTGGATAAGTGAAATGACCACCCAAGGTCACCAGGTGTCTGCTTATGTCTGGTTCATAACACAGAAGCGCTGATCTAGTTCAGTGTTTAGAGTTTATTAGGTTACCTTTACCTGTCCTTTCCATAAATCTCTGTACATATTTGCTAAAACGATTTTTCACAAATATTCTAGATACATTTGTAAAGTGGACATAAAATTTCTTTACTTTCATTATTATTAATGTCCAATAGAAAATAAATAGGTATTCACAGTGTTATTTCAGATTAAATTGATAACATTCATAATATATTTTTATATCTTTTTCTGCCTTCTAGTTACTGTACAGAATATGGATATATAATTATACAACCCACTTCATTGATAGAAAATCGACCAAACTTTATTTGTGACTGAATAGAGTTCTACTTTCTTCTTCCTTCTCCTTCTCCTTCTCCTTCTTCCTTGCTTCGTAGGGATCATAGGGATGGTCACGGTTTTGATTATGATGAAAGCCACACACATGCACACACACACAGGCACACACAAACACACAAACACAGGCACAGAGATCTGGTACTCCTCGAAAATCTGTCTTCTGATAACACACTAACACTGATTTATAGTATGTGTATTGTGCTAACTGCCACTGCTAAAAAGTTGACTGTGTTCTGCCATCAGCATTGGAGTATAAGAGTAGTATAAGCTTGTAACATGAGGAAATGAAATAGAAGACAATTTATTTCAAATACAGTAATTCCAAGTTACAGAGTTGTGAATACTGATGGATATTTGTTTTCTTTTTTATGAAAGGTCAGTCCAGCTCCACTTCAGAGGATGCAATTGGTGATATGTATAAAACTCGAATTCCCAGCAAAGCTCTCTCCCTTAATTCCTTCCATGCTGTCAGATACTATTCTAAAGTCATCCCTTCCTATGATGCAGCTGCCGTAACAAATCAGAACATTTCAGTTCATTTTCCATCAGCTGTGCCCAGAGTCTCAAAGTTTCTTCCTCAGCACTGCAATTCTGTGCTGGGCCAGACGTGCACAACGCATCCCAACTGTCTGGTAAGTCTGCTGGGGTCTTAGGTCAGACAGATTCTTTCATTCCAGCCATCAGGGGCCCCTGGCTGGCATTGTGTTGCTCATACTTTGGTCAGAAGTCTCTTAGACTGGGACCAGGTGTGCTTAACCCAGGCTCGCATTCCCCATGCTGCAGGACTGGTATCTAGATATCCAGGATCAGTGAATCTGGATGTGGCACTGCTGGTATGACCTTAAGTGGCCAGATGGAACCTGATTTCCTCTAGAGCCCCTCCCTTTAGCCCTCCTCCTTCTAGGATGCCACATCCCACCTCACCAGCCTCACCCTCACCTGGCCCCTAACTGCCTGCTTCTTGATCTCTTTGGCTGGCAGCAGCAACCATACTCTGTGAAAATCTGATCTTCCAACACCAACTGGGCTGATTTCAGATCCCAGATGTCCTCTTTTCACAGATATTTATGGAGCATCCCCTCTGTTCTAGCAATGTGCTAAGCACCAAGAATGAAGTGTATAAATAGACGGGATCCTTGCCTTAGTGTCATAGGGAAGTAGACATAGAAGCTAGAAATTGTGATCCACGCTGGGGCACGGAGGAGGAGCACCCTAGTATTTGTACTATAATCTGGAAGAAATATTGGAAGAAATACTATCTAAGCTGAGATCCGAAGAATAAGAATTAGCCCAGTAGAGCGGTCAGGAGTTGGAAGTGAGCAGGGCAATAGCAATCTAGGCAGATGGATCAGTATATATAAACAGTGGTATCTTTTTTTTTTTTTTTTTTTGGAAGAACTGTCCCGTTCTAGAAGAAGACCCAAACCAGCCTGGCCTGTTTTAAATGGACTTCCGATAACCTTACTATAGTTGTTAATAATTTTGCATATTAATAATAGCTAACATGTTTTGAGCACTCAATAAGTAATGTGCCAAATACTCTGTGTGCTTAATGTGGATGATCTAATGAATCCCTGGAATAATCCTTTGAGGTAGGTGCTACTATTATTTTCCAAATGACATCTATAAAATGGGAATAATAGTGACCTTCCCAAAAAACATTTATGAGAAAAATATTTTAAAAACAGTTACAAAGAAATTTTGAAATATGAATTATCTACATCTGTAATACTGTTGCTAACGATCATCAGTATACCAACAGGAAAACCAGGGTAAATGAAAAAGAGATTGTTTATTGTTCACCTACACTTCTGTGTGTAGTTTTTGTTGGAGAATTGTTGTAAGACAATAATTACTTTTAATAACAGTAAATAATACATTTTTAATGGGTTTTTTCACCTGAAGATTTCACATGGTTTTATAAATCATTTCATATTGCTTTAAGACATAGGAACTCTATTTGTGACATTATGAGTAAGAACAGGCCAAGATTCAATTAATGTGGTTTTCTTTCCCCTTTGCAGCAACAGTTTTGGGCATATTAATAGCACATGTTTGAAATTCACACTCTAGACCACCTATTGGGTGCAGTTTGACAATACAGGAAGAATGGAACAAAGAATGATCTTGAAAGCTACACCCAGAGACCTAATATCAAAAGAGCTTGCACTGTATGGCTTCTGATAAATGTGCTAAAAGCTTCTGCAGACGGATAGCAAAAGTGCTAGCCACCCGCTTTCACCTGTCTTCATATATACTTGGATCTCCCTAGCCAGAGCACTACAAGAACAAATGGCCTGGTGACTTAGACTTTTTTTTTTTCCCCTCTCACAAAAGATTCCACAATTTATGATCCACTTGATAAAATGGTAAGATTAGGAAGGTGCTTTGATACTCTGGCATCACTGAGTATAGATGTTGCAACCTGATTCTTATTTTTAGTATCACTGTGAATTCCTGTCACTCATTTCTAGGTGTTCTCTTTCTAGATCTGACATTTTAGAGTGCTTCCTTCGTTATTCACCATCCAAACTTAGATGTCTTAGTTTGAGAGAAGTGTTTACCTCCTCGCTTGACTCCTAATGAATAAATTGATGTGTTTGTTTCTGCATTTCATAATCCCTTGAGTGAAATGGTAGCTAATAGGTAGATTTTCCCTTCTGGATCTTCAGTTACAGCCTAACAGGTTTTTCTTTGTTTTTCATCTCCTCCTCCCTACCAATATTAGGAAAGACTGCTGAAAATAAGGGGAGAAAATATTTGTTTTATATTTCACCGAAATGGTCTTATGCATAATATAAGTTTTATTGTTAAAGAAAATATTCAATTTTGACCCTGAAAATGGTAACCTGTTTTTGTTTTGTTTAATAAATATGTGTTCCCTCTTTTAGTAGTATGATGTAGGGAATTTAATTTTACTTTTCAAAAAGTAAGATTTTTGAAAAGTTTAAATATTACTTTAGGCATAGCCTAATTTTTATGTTAAAACTGTGTAACTTTTCTTTGAGGATGCCATGATGATGGAACCTGTAGATGTTTGAAAAACTTTATAAAGGAACTAAAAGTTTCCAACTAAGATTCTATGCTTATTATTATAAATGTGTGCCCGACTCACTTGCTTTTAGGAGTGATTGCTTTGACGTTGTAAGAGAACCTGTTGAGGTATTTTGGGCACTCAAGACTACTTCCTGTGTTCACAACTGGTCTTAATTGTTACTGGGACTTGTACTTTGCATCGGGATTTCCCTAGGTGCACATGAGGATCTTGAGAGACAATCTGTGGCTGGGAACTCAACAGAAGACCTGAGGAGTGCAAGCCATACATCCTGGCTCCTTGCTGCTCTCAGTCCCCTTTTCCTTTCAACATAAAGAGCAAGGCTACTAGATCCATTGTTAAAGCTCTGTTTTTTCCAGTGCTGCTTCCCATGATCCTGAACTTCATGCAGGTGTCCAAATTTGTTTCTAAATTATGCTCTTCCAAGTAAGTTCAACTCTCAGCCTAGGAGGAAGAGTTAGTTGAGCCTTAGCCCATAAAAAAAGAGCAGGTTTTTCCTTTGTAGAATCATCTTGGCTGGTCGTGAGACAGTGGCAGTGTTATTTTTACAATGAAAAAGGTGCAAGGAGTTTGCCTAGAAAAAGTGACAGCTTGTAGGTTTCACACTGCTGATATAACAGACATTGTCCCTGTTTGAACAAGGAGGAAGGGCAGAAGCAAATGTTTATTGAGCCCTTTCTGTGGCCCAGGGAAATTATTAGACTTTTTCCTGAGGAGAAAGACTTAGTCTTCCTCACTTCTATATCCTCAATGTCAGCCATCTTGCTGGATGGATGGATGGAGGCACAGGCGCTTGGATGTGGAGACAAGAGATATAAGGGTCTGAACTTGAGTAATGACTATGAGAAAGGAAAGCAAGAGACATAGTCAAGCACTTAGGAACCCATTTGAAGTAAAGACAGATGGAAGAATGAAAGTTGATGTTTAGTAATCACTATAGTTTTCATTAATAGTTTATCAGTCTGTTTACATCTATTTCCTTCCCCTCTTTTCTAATATATGAGTTAGATGGTCTCCCAACATGGCAGAAATGACAGTACTTGGTAATGTTTATAAACACCACTGTTGTATGTTTAAAGGAGAACACTCAAATGTTGAATAACTCAAGAATTATCCAGTCATGTATTAATTTGTTCAGCAACTATTTGAGAGGCATTGTCTTAAATGCTGGGAACACAACTGTACATGAGGCATAGTCTTTTTTACCTTCTGTATCCAGGAACTTAGAGTCTACTGGGAGAGACAGGTAAAACAGAATTATGGTGGAGTTTGGTGGGTGTTATGACAGAAGAAAATATAAGGTACTACTGGGTACCTATAAGCATCAGGCATCCATTCAGGGGACTCATGGGAGGCTTTTGAGGATAGTAACATCTAAGATATCCTCCTTTCTGAAGTACTTGCCTCCTAATGTTGTTGTGAAGGTTAAATGAGATATGTGTACAAGTCCCTAAAACAGTGCCCGGGCATATACAAAGCATTCAATACCGGGTTGTGATAATTGTGATAATGATTAAGCTGAGATTTTAAGAACCAGGAGGCATAGCTAAGCCAGATGGCAGAGATGTGGGGACAAGTGAGGGAGATGAGTTTTCAGGCAGTGAGAACTGCTTTTGCAAAGGTACCAAGGAAAGCATTGCATAGCACAAATGGAGGAGTAAAGGAAATTCCACAGGGCTGTTCATGGAGTTCAGGTGTGGGATGGAGAAAGAATGGAGCAAAGAGACAGCCAAGGGCTACGTGATACTGCCTTGATTGAACTTATCATGGCACTCACTGCTGTCATGATATTGACATAATCAGCTTTTCATTTTAGAATCACTGCTCTGGCTTCAGTGAATTAAAGGCAGAATGAATTGAAGGGGGCTAAAACAAACTGGGGGAAGGGGGTGGCTATTTAGTAATTCAAGCAAGAGATGGCCAGAGATAAGTCATTGGCAGTGGGAATGAAGAGAAGTAGACAAATCTGATTAATGTTAAGGGGGCAGAGTTAGCAAGACTTGGTAGATGTTCCAGTATGGGGGTTGTGAAGAAGTAAGGCTAACACCTAGGTTTCTGGCTTTGGTAGCTGGACAGGTAGTACCGATGGCCACTGAGGGAACACAGGGAAAGAACATTTGGAGATCTGGTGCTGGAAGATGACAGTTCTGTGTGGGGACATGTTGTGTGTAGGGTATCCGCATGGAGGTTGCCAAGAGGCATTCAGATTTGGCTAGCAGAGGTGGGAGATCTGGATGAGAGATGATGTGGTCTGCAGAGTCATCACCCGGGATGGGGGAATGTTCAAGTTGGGGATTCAAACATTAAATGGTGGGATTGGCCTGGATGACTCATAAGGGCCTTCTAACCCTGCAATTCTATTATAATTCATCATAAGGAGTCAGTCGGGCAGGCCCATGGTGTTTCATGGCGTTGTAAGTTACCAGAGATTTGGGATGCTCTGGTAAAACCCTCAGAGGCAGAGGGCACAACTTGTCAGTGGCAGCTGTGTTTGTTTGCTGGTTATTTTTTGAATTGTGGGAAGTTTCTCTGAATCTCTAAGTTCTGAAAAATTCAAAACTCAGGCAATACTTGGTCTATTTCTAGTGTGAGAAAATAGCAACAAACCGCTCAGGTAGGTAATGCCTACCCCTCTTTGTGGGGCATCAGTTTTACTCTGGTCATTTCCCACCTAGCTTGCCTCATTCATTGAAGTGACTCGCCTGGTCTCTGTAGGTATTCTGGTGTGACTCCCATATAGGGAGATCACTTTGGGGAAGGGATGGGGCGGAGCACAGCATGTTAAAATTCAGATTCCCAGGCCATACCCCACAGGGTCAAATTGGTAGACTTGGCTAGGCTAATACTCAGGAATCCACATTTTAACATGGCCAGATGTGTTGTGGGTATCTGATTATCCTATTTAAAAACCCGAAGCACATAGGGACGCCTAAGTGGCTCAGTCAGTTAAGTGTCAGACTTTTGATTTCAGCTCAGGTCATGATCTCAGGGTGGTCTTGAAAGAAAGAAAAAAGAAAGAGAGAGAGAGAAAGAAAGAAAAAAAGAAGAAAGAAAGAAAAAGAAAGAGAAGAGAAAGAAAGAGAAAAGAAAGAGAAAGAAAAAAACAAAAATCCCAATGCACATAAATGGTTGCAGATACTCATAGAGGATACATAAATGGAATAGACAGAGAGTAAAACCATACATCACTGACTTCCAAACCTGGCAGTACATCATAAGCACTTGTAGATTTATGAAAACAATACATATCAGGACTCCTGTCCCAGAAATTCTGATTCCATATTTCTAGAATGGGGCTTAGTACCCAGAATAGAATGATTCTGATAGTCAGCCAGGTCTGAGAGCCACTGTTAGATTTATAACCTGCTAATCACATGTATGTTAAGGGTTGATGTCAAGAGGTGAAGCATGAGGAGCATAGGTCTCCTAAACTAGACAGGTCAGCATTGAGAGAATAATTACTTCCACACTCGTTGATTAGGAAAGGTTTTGCTGAGGAGTTGAGTTTCAGAAACTGCTTTGGTGAGTCAGATAATTAGGTAAAAACATTTCATGCCCAGAGTATAGCTGTGGGAAAACTCAAAGGTTCAAGACCCAGAGAGTTTTGAGTAAGTATAACTATGAAGAGTGAAAACCAAAAAAAAAAGTAAGGTAGGGTTTTGCTCCCTTTGGTTCATATTGATGGCAGTGGAAACTGCTTACGTGAAGGCGGGTGCTTTCTCATTTTTATTAAATCTTTCACATTTTATAAAATTACTCTAAAGCTATTGTTAAAAGCAGAATGCCACTTTTGCAAAATAATATTGGAAAACATGTCATTTCTTTGAATACTCGACATCGACATAACATAAAATCTTGAGGCCAGAGTCCATCAATTTTCTGTGCAACCCTTGGGCACACCATTGGTTTTCTCTTTTTCCTTCTGCCAGTCTCCCTGTTACATAGAAGAAGGAAGCCGGGAGCCCGCGGATCACCTTGGTTGATCCGGTA